CAGGGAAAAGGAAAAAAAAAAAAAAAGATAAAGAGTAGTTCAGCTTTGGTAGAACCATAAAGTTAGAAAAGAAAGTCCTCAGGAAGGAAAATACACTATCATTTTAGCAGAAAGATATGCCACATTACCTTTGAAATCAAAAACCTGCAGTGAGTAAAATGAAGACTAATGTCCTGTTTTATAGTGTGCTTGAAGAAAAATAACAGTTCTTTGTGGGCAGTGGAACTGTCTTGTTAGTATCACCAACAACATAAGTAAAACCAGAAGATAATGTGCTTGCTTCTTCCAACTTTTTGCATTACCATCAATCTGGGACACTGTTTAACATGGAAAATCCAGTCCAGAATCACTGTCTTGTTCAAAGCAGGAATTTAATGCAGTTTCCCATCACAGAACACCTGAAAGAGCTGTTCCTATATTTTTAGTTACAGAATAGGGGAGCATCAAAGTGTCTATTCTAGGAAGAGCCTGAGAGCTAGGGCATCAATCATCAATTTATCAATGCACATTATTTTACACCAAATAAACTGTCTTGCACCACAATAGGCTTCCCTACCGGACGCTAATAAATATGCTATGAATCTCTACAGACCAAACAGGTGGTTTAAAGAAATACACAAGACTAAAGAGAACGCACATAAAGCTTAAGAAAGTAATCCTGGCTCAGAAATTCCACCCACAGAATGAGCTTCCAGAGATATATCACCCCCCTTACTAAAAAAATAAAGCAACAAAAATCAAAACAAGCACAAGGAAAAAAACAAGCAAACAAAAGCAGACTAATTTCCTACACCAGGAGCCATCATGTTTTGCAAAAACAGCATATCCATCTGCTCCACCACTAAAAATATAGTATCACAAGGGAAAATAAAATGGAGTCAGATCTTTTCAACACCAAGGAAATAATACAGAGAATAATAAGAACATAGGTACTGAAGATATTGATATTTTGAGGTGGTAGGCAGTAGCATAAAACTCTGAAATAGAATACCACAGTTAGCACAAGTAATAGAGACAAGATGTGACATGACTTACTATTTGACCTTTGTCTTTTCCACTGCCCTCCAATAATGTCAAGCCCATTACAGAAATGTAAAAAGGTGCTAAAGAAAACAAGAAATTTAAAAATAAATAATAGTTTTCTGTTTTCTTTTCAGTTGTTTTCAGGAACCACAACTTTATTTCTCAAGTAATTCTCAAATAAAATAAGAGCACTGAAATTAAAAATAACTACGAAATGTCTTACTGCAGACACAATCATAATTTTCCCAAAACAGCATACTATAGAGGTACACCTCCTTAGCTTTATACAAGGCTTCTCAGTAGACAATCTGGAAGTTTTGGACTATTTTCTTAATTTAGCTTTCTCACGACAAAATTTGGCTTTAGCTTTCTCACCACAAAATTATATGTCAATGTCAGTTTTCAGAGTGACTGCAAGAAAACTGTGCCTTTAACAGGCCCCACTCCAAGATCTTGCTGATTACTAGTGACAATCCTGCAATTGTTTGAGTAGTATTAAAGGAAATATTAAATACTACCCCACTTTAGCTGCACAGGCCAAGACTTAGTAATAGAACATGAGCTTGAAAGTAATAAAAAAAGAAACACGTGCACACAAAAAAGTATTAAGAAGTATTAAGAATACCATATATGACTTTTACCCCACTTTAGCTGCACAGGCCAAGACTTAGTAATAAAACATGAGCTTGAAAGTAATAAAAAAAGGAACACGTGCACACAAAAAAGTATTAAGAATTAAGAAGTATTAAGAATACCATATATGACTTTTGTAGGCACCTTTACTTCATGGGAATTGTTACCATAAATAAAAAAAAAAAAAAACCAAACAAAACCAGCATAAATGTGAAAAAGAACATTGTTTTGAATGTTTTGAATGAACATAAAGGCCACCACCCTGGATGACTAGAAGAGTCAGGTTCTCCAGAATTCTGCCACAGAAAATAACCAATATCCATAACTAGATGCCTGGAATACCGGAGGTTAAAGCAAAGCTAGCATGCACAATACTTCCACTAAGACTCAGGGGCTTCACTAGCCAAAGTAGGCTCCCATGTATTTAGCCAATAGATCCCAATCAACAGGCTGCAGTTCCCAGAAAAGATTTAACTTCAGAAGTGCAGTGTATATGACAATGAATATAAAGTCCAAGCAGGTGTGTAGAAGAGAAACATCACATAATTTATTCAGATGCTAAATCACTTTTGGATATATACATCTTTTGCTAAAACTGTTCAGTTCAGAACCAATTAAAACTTTAGCCCCAATTATTTGATAAATGTATTTTTTTCTTTGGGGGGGAAAAAATATCCAAAAGGCTAATACCTCAACCAATACTTAAGACTAGTCGTTTAGTTCTGATGCAGCCTTAAACTACTAAACTAGATTTCCGCTGCCAAGGTTTTTTCAGAAATGCATTTTATGAGCCTGTGAAGGGAAAGGGAAAAGGGAAAAGGCTTGGGCAATTTTATCCAGCTGCTGGATAAAGTTAACACCCTCTCACTAACATCTTTTACAAAGGCACTTACATAACTTTTCTATCCAAAATGCCTGCTAAGGCACTCTATGAAAGACACAACCCTAACCAAAAGCATAGAACAGAAGACAAAGAAAATCTTAATGGAAAGTGAAACACTTTTACTGTGATACACCTCCACAGGTTGTCCTGAGAGGTGGCAGTCTCCAGGAATGGAAATACCCAAAAATTAACTAGACACTGTCCTGGGCAATCTAATCTAGGGTGGGGTGCACTAGATGCTCTCAAGAATACCATTCCAACCTAAATGGTTTCACAATTCTGATTAACAAGACATGCAAATATTAGGAGACAGCACAGAAACAAAAGAAGTTCTTAGATCTAAAGGCAATTAAGCATACCACAGCAGATGAAATTAAATTATGCTCAAGAAATTAGCTGGTCAGCAACAACTTTATATTTCAACTGAAAAGATGCTAGAAAAACACAACATTAACATTACCCATATGTATTTATGCTTTCAAATGACCTGCCTTTACGCAAAGTTTTCATATGAAATATAACCTTAAAATGGATTAACAATCTACAAATAATTCCATCAGTAGCCTTTCAAACCTCTTGAAGAATTTTACTGAAGTCCATTCAGTAAATCAGGCCATTTTAGTTCCCATTCCAATTCAGAATATCTTCACAGAACTTCTTTACAAAGTTAATAACCTTAGAGAAATGCTACACTGGAAAACCAGCCTAATTGATGAGGCTATCACCTCTTTTATGTATTAAAATCTGGCTTCTCTCTTCTTTCTGTAACATACACATGCTTAAACATGTCAAATGTATTGATGGATTAGTAAAATGGTAAAGCATGTAGATGTCTACACTGCAGTACTTTCAGAGAATCTCAGAGATTGATGCTTCACTTTCTTTTTTATTTTATTAATAATCTGAAATATATCCTGAACACATGCATCCCCTGTCGTTAGAAGGATGGTACATGCTAGATTCTACCTTGAGATGGAGAGATTACAGACTGGGTTCTGTTTTCAAAAGCTGTAACTAGCTTCCTGTTCATTTTTTGCTTGCTTTCCTCAAAGAAAGCTATCTGATCTGATAAAAGACAAAAACCCAAGAATGGCAAGATAATATGCAAGAAACTTAAAATAAATACATTTCAAAATACTTTGCTAACTTTCAACACCTGTGGAATGTGTTCATCAAGAAACAAGTAGAAATGCACATGTAGTCGAAATTAATCTAAAGGGGAAATCAGATGCTTAACTACACTTTGTAGACATCAAGTGATTGAAGTGATTAGAAATTCACATTTGCCCTGTTTCTTCAAAGTTTCCAGCACGTATAATGCTCTTCAAAAATACTACATGCTGTAAGATTTTAGTAATACATCATTTAAGTTCAACTAGCAAATGAGCAGAGCACAGGACTTCCTTCTGCCTCCACCCAATTTTGTCTGATACCATACACTCTATTTACTAGGAATAGTAAACAGTATCTTTATAGAGAGTTTCCTTAACTTCTCTCACAAGACATTGAAGATATCCCCTAAACATTTAGCATTTTCCAGCCTTTCCAAACAGGATGTTCACTTGACAGCTCCCTCTCCTCACATATCTCTTATGCAACATGTTTTCTCAAGAAGTCTTGATCCAGCCCACGGCAGGAATCCAACACCAACTGTCATGTCTATCAATGCTGCTTGAAGCAGGAAGCCTCTACTAACTTTCAGATGGATGCTTTCTTCTGATTGCTACATCAGCCCAGGCCTTCACGGCTTTAACCAGACTACATCCCACGTGAAAATACTGTTTTGGCTGCCTGCAGCATTAGGTGTCACCTCCCTCTCTATGATATACTTTTCTTGTAATCCATGTTTGCCAGAGAATTTTCACTGATTTCTAGAACAAGATCTCACACTGCCAATGTTTTTATATTCTTCAATAAGCACACCTGACTATCAGCGAAGAACGACCAACTGGAAAAATGAGGAAAATGTACCTATGAAGGGAGGCCACAAGGCAAGACATAGAGGAGGAACTTTTGAAAGTACACCCATAATTTTGAAAGTACACCCATAATTACTCATTAAACCTTCCCTTCCCAGAAACAGCCCGGGTATATTTAATCCTGATGCAAGGTTGTGGGAGAGATGAAATAACCTCCAAAGGCTCCTTCAAGACTTAAAATTCTCTAAAATCCCTCTGCCTGTTCATTCTCCCCCGCAGTTGCATACGGCAGTACATCGGGACTTTTACTATTTCAATTCAAGCGAACCGTGGCTTCTGGAAGGGTGAACAAAACAGCTTCAGGACAGGTGGTTTTATCCAAAGCAAGGGCCCAAGCCCGATTTAATTAGTGTCTTGGAGGCGCCGGGCGCCCGCGGCCCCGCTCCTCCTCCTTGCCCGCCGGGAGCGAGACGCGAACCCGCGGCCCCCGGCGGGACGCGGCCGCCCAGCCCCGGGCCGGCCCTCGCCCCGCGCTCAGGTACCTGGCAGCGGCTCAGCTGCTCCGCCAGAGCCCGCAGCTCTTCCTCCAGCTCTGCCACCCGCTGCGTCGCCGCCTCCGAGCACCCCGAAGCCATCGCCGAAAGCCTCTCGCCGTTCCTCCCGCGGAGACGGCGAGGGGAGAGGAGGGTCCGCGTCCGGCGGAGCGGGCTCAGGCAGCCCCCGCCCGCCCGCGCCTGGGGGAAAGAGGGGAGAATCGACGCCGTGAACCACACAAATGAAAACTTTCCCCCGCACTCACGGCGCGGGCGAGCGCCGGAAACCGCTGGGAAGAAAGAGGACGCGGTGGAATGACGTCACAGCTCCACCGCTACCCCGGCGAGGAGAAGGGGCGAGGGGCACGTTTGAATTCGCCCGCCCGAGGCGCGGCGCCGCGCATGCGCCGCGCGGGTGCCGGAGTGGGGCGGGGCGCGGGCGGTGAGGCGCCTGTGGGGCGCCTCCGCCTGCCGCCCCCTTCCCCAAGGGCCAGGGGCACCTGCTGCCCAGCCATGTGCTGAGCGAGGGATGTTGGAAATGCCTGGGAATCCAGCAGGTCCCCCGCCCTTCCTCCCAGCCGTGGGAGCACATGTGTCCCGCCTCTGTTTAGATCCTAGATGTTTGCATGTGAACCGTACAGGTCAGACTCACAGACAGAATGGGTCAGGCTGGAAGGAACCACAGTGGACCATCGGGTCCAACCTGCCTGTTCAAGCAGGGTCATCCCAGAGCACGTGGCACGGGATCGTTCTTGAGTATCCCAGCGAGCCATGCTTCCACAGCCTCTGGGCAATCTGTTCCGGTCACTGCACAGTAAAGTTCCTCCTCTTCATCAGGAGCTTCCTGTGCATCAGTTTTTGCGCCTTGCCTCTTGTCCTGTCGCTTGCCACCACAGAGCAGAGCCTGATTCATCCACGGACATCCTCCCTTCAGATACTCACAGACACTGCTCGGGTAATGACATGTTTGTGGGTGTTCTGCGAGGTGCTGAGGCTCCAGCACACCTGAGTCAGATGTCTCATGCTTTTTCCTCTTTGTCTCTATGTTTCTTTTTTCTCTGAATTAAATAATAACAATTGCAAGACAAAGAGTCAGAGACCTGGGTTGAGGTTAGGTCTTGATAGTGTTTTAAGATGCATGAGCACACTTGTTTCTCAGACAGGAAGTTTTCAGATTTATTAACCCCGAGTTGGATTTCAGAGCCTACAACTGAAAGCAAAGGAATGCATCAAAGATCTAACTCTTACAAATATGTGAAATATTTCGGCTGGTGCCACTATGTAAATGTACTGTTTAAGATCCAGATATGCAGAGCACCTAGTTTTGTAATGAAGGGTTCAAGAGCATTGCCAAAGCAAATCCTTGTGTAGCCTACATGGGAAGCAAAATACTCATAAAAAGCATAGACTTTCTCCCAAACGGAGAAAGAAGTTGAAACAGAATATATTTTAACCTGGAAATTGCATTTCACCAATGTCAGTATCTTATTACAGAAATACTATACTTGTTTTTGTAGAGAAGTATATTTTCTTTTGCTCTCCATTGTAACTTTTGCATGGTTTCTAGAAAAGTTGCCCTTAATGTACCACTGTGACAAGAAATTAAACTCCTTGTGTGTATGTGTGCATGCAGATAAGCAAGCAGGTTTCACACCATGTGAATTAGGATATATATTAAAATGTCCAATCCTTCCACCTGTGGCCCTAGCAGAAAGATTCCTGCATCCTTGGTGATAGCTGTGCCTGGCAAGTTGATTTTTCATCACATTGATGTCCAGGAGCCCTCCTCAGAAGCAGAGAGTGGATACAGTACTCAATGCCAAGATTTTTCACATAATTTTTCAATTAAAATTTTTACTATTACTGTAGGTATTGTCTGCACAATTATAAATGTAATCATAAAGGTGGGAGGCTGCATTAGAGTCTTCTCTGTTTAGGTATATGGAGAATTAAGGAGATTCAACAATTATTGGATCAATACCACATCTCTCCTTAGAACAGCCGTTATAATTTTTATAGTTCATCACTCATTGTGTTTTGTCATTTATCTTTGTGTGTTATTAAATGTTCAAATATTCATATGACATCATCACTCATTGTGTTTTGTGTCATCTCATATTTGTGATCTTGCACTTCCTGTCATTTATCTTTGTGTGTTATTAAATGTTCAAATATTCATATGACGAAAATGTCAATTCTAACATGTTTACATTTTAAAGTTTTTCTTTGCTTTTAGGATCTCCTAGTTCTCTTCTACCATAAATTCACTGTCCAGTCATTATGATTCTCTGTAGTCTTCACTTTTTCCACATCCCTGCCTTTTAGTAACCATCTTTTTTTATTTTTCATCTGTTTCCTAATATTTTTATCACTGTCCCCTTGACCGTTTGTTCCCTATTACACTTGGGCAACAAGAAGCTAACCTTACTTAAAAAACAATGTGCTTAGATTAACTGCTGAACAGCTACAATGGTAAACAGGATTTAAAAACATTTTCCAAGTACAAGGTCATTCAAAGTTGAGCTGAGAAGATTCAGTTATTACAGGGGCTAGGCTCAAAGCTTGACAGAACACAAAACAACAGACTGCAATTCCTTACATCTTTAGAACCTTAAAAACGAAATTCGTGTATTTGCTATTTGTGTAGACACAACATGTTGCCACAATAAACCCAAAAGTAACACTCTCCCATAACAAGACAGTTATTTAAGAACATAATATTTTTTGTATATTGTTTAACTAACATCACATTTGTTTTCCTGCTATTTCATAAGCTTATTCTCTATAATATAAAGATTCTAGTTATTAACCCAAACAGTATTCATGATAGTTCTTAGAATACCTAAGAAAATTTAAAATGTGGAGTTGGCACGTTTTGGTGAATTGGGAGACATTGACTTGTATCAGAGTATTTCGTACATTATGTTTCTCCCTAGTCTTCATATTTTGGCACCCCTGCATTTACAGTCATCAAATCCATGACACTGTTAGGCTAAATTCTTTCAAAACTCTTTTCCCTTTGGATTTCACTTTTTTTTTAAATTAAATAACATCTATTAGAAATATATTGCACCATTGAAACCTATTTGTTATGGCTTTTACTCACTTACAGTTCCTCTGAATGTTGCACAAATGGAAGTGCTCCCCAAGCTGCTTTGGTGACAGAGGCAAAAAATATTTTTTGTTTGGTGAGGTTTTTTTTGCTTTTGGGAAATTCCACATCTTTCTTTGATACATGTTCATATTACAAACATGTTTCATTTAGTCCTATCACTAATTACTTTTTTTTCTGATTGTATATTTATTTTCCTTATCATAATGTGAAATATAAAGTTTCTCTATCCATTTTGGCAATCCCAATACTTCATTATTAAGGTAAAGACATGCAAGTACATAATAGAGCATTTTCATTTTCCTTTAAACAAAAAATGTCCTTACTAGCCTGACTTTAATATTTTTGAAATACTAAAGAATTTGCTTTTCTCCTTGGATATTTTTATGTGGACTGTTCATGTTTGCCACTAGTAGTTTTCTAGGAAACAGCATCATCAAACAGGTACATTCTGAAAGATGTTTCTCAGCTAAAGTGAACAAAACAAGTCAAAATTGCTGAAATTATTTCTAGCAGTTTTTGGCAATGTCCTCAATATTTTAGGAATTTCTGTGTTTCTCAAGAACATATTACAACCCTAGAAACATGTTTGATCTTGTTTAGACAATTAATTCAAAGCATACTTTTCTCCAGTAAAAGTTTCTGGGAGTTTTGTGATGTAGGTTTGCGTTTGGGTTTGTTTGGTGGTTTCAGGGCTGCGGTGGAGATTCTTTCCACTTCTGCGACAGCTGTATATAACAGCATGATTATGGTCATAGGAAGAATGGGGAAATAAAAGTGGAAAGGTCTCTAAGGAGATAATATCTGAGATTGGATCACCCACCATAACCAAGAGGACAGACAGACATTTGGTTGTAAAAAAAAAAAAAAAAACAAACCAAAAACATACTCATATTGAATTAGCTGATTTTGAGAAAGCGGAGCTGGAAAAGGTCAGCATGGAAGCCTAGATTCACTGAGGTACAGGCCTGGAGTTCTACCACTAGCATGATTCGCTTTTCACTCAATGAAAAGAAAGTATCATCTTGTTCTCATAAGCAGAGAGTAAGGTAGCAGAGGTCTGATTTGTGCCGGAAAGGACAAGAGGTAGCACCAAGTGGCCTCTAGAATGTATCAATTTTATTGCTTTAATTTACTGCATACTTTTCTACTGCACACTATGCCTTTCTTAGAGGCTTGGTAAACATCAATTAACAAGTTACATTCTCCAGAAGGGCTACATCATGATGCCAGTCTCTAACATGGCCCTGTTCCACTTACCTTTACCATGGAGAAGGCTTTGGTTTTTCATTTTCTTTTAAATGAGGTCACAGACCTTGGCACTACACCCTTCAAGGCAATGAAAAATAAAAGCCAGTAATATAAAGTAGGGCATGTCAGCTGAACAAAGCACAGAGGGAGGAGGTGATTAACAGTTCTGGATGAAGTCTTCCCCGCCCCATAGCACCTGCCAGAAACTGGAGGTCGTGAGGGAAGGGCAGACAGCTGAAGGTCATTAAGAGGGCGAAGCAGATTCCAGGGTGGCTGTCCTGGCAGAAGCAATATTAGGTTTGTGTTGTGGTGAACTGAAGAGATGGGTTTTGGTGAGCACTGGGAATTGATTGTTTCTTTGTTAATTTGTTTCTTAGTGGAATTGACCATCAGAAAGAAATTGAGCTTTGACCTTGCATGCGGTGTGTAGTCTGTATCATAGATTAACTGGGAGAGTCACCTGGTTATGGAAGGATTGCATGGAAAATCAAGAGTTTACTGTCATCACTCTGAGAAAGAGTGTTAAGAGTACATGGCCACCCAGGCTCAGTAAGTAAGACATGACACCCTTGTTAACCCAAGGAGTGGCTGCTGACAGGGGCAACACCATCCATGACCACCCAAACTTTTTAGAGTGCAGGAGACATGTATGAGACGCTCCCTCACCCTAGGGATTGCAGCTGAGAACATACACCTACGTGTCCTCGCATTGCAGTCATGCACATGCATACAACACAAG